TCCTCACACATCTGTCTCTTTCAGTATGGAGAAAAATCTTTCCCAGACATCCCCCTCCCCCAGCAGATTTCTTACCTTTTATTGTCTAGACTTGGGTCATTGTGTGTACATTCTGAGAGCAGTCACCAATAAAGGGGAACGATATTGTTGTGGTTAGTGCCAATTACAATTTGACCCTGGGACTAGGGGGTTTGCATGAGGGGAAGATTGAGTTGGTTGTCTAAATTCAGTGAAATGAGTCTAAATTCGGTAAAGTCACCTCCCTTCCAAAAACATTTCTGACCCATTTCCTCTTCTGCAACATTTTCCTCTCCCCCTCACTCCACGCTTCCATGGGGGGGCAGGGGGTTGTGAGCTCTGTGCACCATCCCACGCCCACCAGGTTCCTCAAACTTCATTTCTTCTCTCCCATTCTTTTCTGGAATGTGATCCCAGCGTCCTTTTGCTAGATCTCAGGCCGCCATCTTGATGCCTTGATCTCCCTCCGTTCGGATGGTTTTTCAGAACTGGCCTTAAAGGGAAGTCAGCAGGCTTCTCACAGACGCTGCAGGGTTTTAGGGGCCACAACTACCTGTATTGCCTTGGGTTGTTTTTTTTTTTTTTTTTTTAACCAAAGAGGTCATGTCAGAGAGAGGAAGGTAAAAAGTTGAGCACTTTCGCACACTATTTCACTTTATTTTTTCCTCCACGGCAGACTCTGTGTTCCACTTACAATTCCCCTCTCCCAGAATCTATGGCCTAACGTTTTCCACATTCTTTCACCTTTATTGCTGCTCTGCTTCCTGCTTTGGGATGATTATTGCAACTAATTTTGCAGAGTCCCAGGCTTCTTGCTCACCCGCATCTGTTCTTCACCTTCCTTCCTGCTCCCCCAACCCTGACCTGGTCTAGTTTTCGGCCCCTCGCCAGCATCCAGTCGAGGCAGACTGACCTCTCCTGCTCTGCATCACAGCTTCTTTGCCCTGCCAGGCACATTCCCAGGCTGAGAGGCCACTTGCTAAAACAGCCAAAGGGTCTGGTCACAGGTGGTGTATTCAACTCGGCAAAAGTCAGCAAGTCAGCCTGCCTCACCGTAGCCAGTTTTCTTGCTGCTTTCCTGCCTGCCCCTCTGCCCTCCTCTGGTGGGCACTGGTCTACAAATACTTTGAACTTATTGCTGCACAAGCCTGCGACAGTCACTGCTATTGGTCAAGCCGTATCGAACAGTCTCTGCCAGTTTCTTTTTTTTAAAGATTATTTATTTATTTATGTATTTGACAGAGAGGGAGAGAGAGAGAGAGAGAGCACAAGCACAAGCAGGGGGTGCAGCAGGCAGAGGGAGAGGGAAAAGCAGGCTCCCCGTTGAGCAGGGAGCCTGATGTGGGGCTCGATCCCAGGACCCAGGGATCGTGACCCAAGCTGAAGGTGACCACTTAATCGACTGAGCCACCCCGGTGTCCCTCTCTGTGAGTTTCTTAATGACTTTGTGAGTAGCCTCCCTCAGTTTCTGGTCACACGTGGAGATTTAAAACTTCTGGCCTCCTCTCTGTTCCTTATACGCTGAAACCTGACTTCCGGCCCAGGGTACCTGCGGCAGGGATGGGTCACGTCTGCCCTGCCTCCCGTCCTTCTGGGTTGTGCTGCCTTCGGGCTTGCTGAAAGGGGGACCCTTCCTTCTAGGAGGGAAAAATCTCCTCCTCCATAATGGCCATCAATGAGTTCCTTTTGTAAATCTTGAAAAACTTGTTTTGTTACTTAACAAAATTATATTGCTGAGAACCCTTGCTTTCTAAAATCCTGCTGTCCGAAACTCGGCTGTTTGAAATCTGGTCAGTGAAGAATGGAACATCCTGCTGCTGCTCAGATGATCTGAGCGGGAGGGTGTGACACCGAGAAGCAGCCTAGCTTTTCAACCCCCAGAGCTTCAGAAAAAGAGTTTTCAGACCCAGAATTCTGCCTTTATCTTCTCTTTGTATTTTCCAAAGGAACAGGACCCCAAGTCCACTTCTCAGCCTGGGCCTGACATTGACCTCTTTGCATACAGGTCTCTGCTCTGAGCCGGTCAAGCACTGCTTTGCTGAAAGTTCACCCAGACATTCCCCTCACCCCAAATCCTAAAATAACCCTGTCTCTTCTCTCGTGAGACACCCATGCTTCCTTTGGAATGTGGTCTCCTTTGCTCCAGCAGCCTAATAAACATCACTTCACTGGGCTGCCGTTGTGTGAGATGGGCTTTATCACTCTGTGATGCAAGACCACTTCTCTAGCTCATGCATTCTCAGCAGGGCCAACATTGCCCCTCAAAGAGGTGAAATGAGTTGCAGGGGAGTGATGGTTTGTGGTCTTCCAAAGGGCTGTACCCATAAACAGGTATCTAGTGTGTCTGTTGTATTAAAATTTCACAGGCAGGGGAGAAGAAGGTGATGAATAGGGAAAAAAAAATACCCAAAAAGGCTCCTTGAGGGGACAGAGACACAAAAAAGTTTGAAGAACATTGCTTTAGCTAAATATTGAGTAGCTTTTGGTGTCCGTTGTGTGTCAGATGCCCACTTATTGGCTCTCTGTTGCAGCTAGAATTGAGTTCTTCTGACCTCTGTCTTGGGAGAGCCAACCTGGTTTGACCTCTTCCAGCATCTAGAATTTCCACCTCACCCATGGGGAGCTCCCACCTGCCTGCTCGGCCAACTGGTGAGAGAGCATGATGCTCGTCACGCACATAGACGCTCCCACGCCACCTGTCTGCCGGTCTCATTTCTCTGCCTAGATGGGCACAGGGAGTGGTCGCAGAATACACCTGCCATTCCCTGAGCACCCCTTTCCCTTGGCTTCCGCAAGGTATGGAAAACGCTGCCACAGTCCCCTCACCACGGCACAGACAAAGGTCCAGCCTCTGATGACTTTTCACCCTCCCCACCCCTAGCCTTTTGCTTATACAGACCGGGGAGGGGGTAGTGCTGGCTGATAGTTGGAAGCAGCAAAGCCCTCTGAGCCACCTCTTCTCCCTCATTATAAACCCTGGGAGAGGAGTCAGGCTCCTGTCCTTCATGGCTCTCTCTAGAACGTGGGGTTTGCAACTCCTTTTTTTCTGAGTTGGGTCCTTGTTACCAATTCTGGAGTCACAAGACTCAATGTCACCTTTGTTCCCTTTCTGAACCATGTAGACTCATGTTTATATTAACTTCTTAGCTGTCACCAGGGCTGAGTGCCTTGGGACAGAAGATGAGTCACAGGTCAGAGAGACAGCTCATGCTTCCATCTCTTTACTGAGATGATGTCTCTCCCCTTCCGTCTGAAATCCAATCCCCCACCCACTGCCAGCCCTGGTTCTCCAGTGACCCTCACCCCAGGAAGAAAGCCGATGCTAAACACGTTCATATTAAAAGTCTTTGCAGTTCTCAGCCCAGCCACCTGCACACAGTAGGTGCACAACAAATGTTTTTGAACTAAAGCTGAATGAGTGCAGACAGGTGCCCGCATTTCTCTGGTTGCCTTGCTGGGAGTGGAGGCTCTAACCCATGCTTTCTCATGCACCACCCTTCCGCAGGAAAGGAAAGCTTACTAAGTGATCACATGTCGAAAAAATAGCTCTTAAGAACATACAACTATCTTTGAAGTCAACTGTGTTGACTGATGAGCTTTGTTTTTTCGAGCGGGTTTCTAATAACAAGGGAAGAGGACTTAGCAACACCGAGAGTCGAGCTGCTTTGCATGCCGTTCCAGTTGTCCTCATGGCCTGTTTACATCTGTCCTGGCCAGACTGTCTCGCTGGCTCTGGAAGCCAGACTTGGCCCCCTCTCTGTGGATGATACACAGCTGGAGGCAGAAGAGCAGAGTGGATGAGAGGCATGGGCTTAGGAGTCAGCTAATTCCGGCCTCCAATCCTGCTGTAGTCACTTACTGACAGAGGATCTCAGGTAGGAGACTTCACCTTTTGGGCCCATCCCCTCATCTGCAAAGCGGGAATAATGATAGTGCCTCCCACACGGTTACTGAGAGGATTGAAGAAGGTAGTGGGTGAGGCCAAGTCCTTCACATAGGTTAGCTGGTACTTGTATTCTTCCAATCCAGATCCTCTCCCGACATCTAGGCATTTTAGCCCTTTTCCTTCGGAGTCTAGGTGTTTTATCCTTCCATCCACCAATCCCATTTGGCCCAGATATAGCATAAGAAAAAGACAGGGGCACCTGGGTGGCTCAGTCGGTTGAGCATCTATCCAACTCTTGATTTCTTGATTTCAGCTCAGGTCATGATCTCAGGGTCGTGAGATGGAGCCCTGTGTTGGGCTCTGTGCTGGGTGTGGAGCCTGCTTGGGATTCTCTCTCTCCCTCTGCCTCTGCACCGCCCCACCTCACCTGCACGTGCGCGTGCTCTCTCTCTAAAACAAAACAAAACAAAACAAAACAAAACAAAAAACCCCACACAGAATAAGGAAAGACCGTTCTCTTTTACTTGCTACCAGATTTATTTAGGTAATTTTTCTTCTGTCATTTTTCATTTATGTCCCTGAAAGTCTGAATTTACTGAACAATGGAAACTTTTTGGAAAAATCCACATGAAAGCAGGATGCTCCCTCAAGCCTGGGGTCCTGTGTACCCACTCTTGACCTGCTGGGTAGGAGAGGCTCTGAAGGATGGCTTCTTCCCCCTCCTGTCCCAGGCCACCAGGCAGCTCCCTCAGTCCCTGGTCACTGCTCTCAGCCTCCTCCTTTACCTTCCGAAAAGCACAGGAGCCGGCCTGCTGCCATGGGAGCTCATCTTTCTCCAGCGCATGCTCTCATCCTGACTATCTCCCAGGGCCGAATCCACGGCGTTGGGGGGGCCGGGGGCAGAGGGAGATGGGAAAGGAGGGCCGTTGGGTAAGATCGATAGCTGGGCTTGGGTGAGCACGTCCTTGGGAAGTCTGGGTGCCTGCTCCGCCCCGGCTGCGTCAGTCCCCAGCCCCCCACTCCCCGGTCCTGCCTGACTCGAGCTAGGAACTGCCCAGTCATTCGGCTGCTGGCTCCAAAGCCCTCCTGGAGTCCACTACTTGTTCTCTATGTGGGACAGCTCCCGCGGCTGCCCCCCTCCTCATTCTTCTCCTTCAGCTTCACGCTGCCCTCCTGCCTCCAAGGGCCCCAGCCCCCAGTCAGCCTTCTCAGCAGCCCGTGAAAGTCAGCCTGGAATCCAGATGATGAGAAGTAGTAGACAAGGGGGTCGACACAGGAATTCAGGGTGCTAAGAAGCAGCACATAACTTCTCCACGCCGGGCTTTCACCCTGGATGTAGCCCACGACATGAGACACGTTGTAGGGCCCAAAGCAGACGAGGAAGTTGAGCAGGGTGGCCGCCACAAGCCCAACCACCCTCCTCCACCTCCGGGAGCTGGCTCCCTTGCTGAGCACCCATACCAGGTGGCCATAGCAGTAGCTGGTGATGAGCAGGGGCACCCCAAAAAGGACCACAGCCATCTCCAGCCTGACAGGCAGGAGAATAGCCAGCTGGTTCTCCTGGAATTCCAAGTAGCAGGTGCTATTGATAGTCTGGCTGTAGGAGGAGTTCCCTGAGAATTCAATGATGTAGACCACGCTGCAGTGAGCACTGGCCAGGAGCCAGCAGGCCCCGCTGACCAGGCCGGCCTGTCCAGGCCTGGGCCGGGCCTTGTACCATAGCGGATAGGCCACGCTCAGGAAGCGCTCGATGCTTACAGCTGCCAGGAAGAGGGAGGTCAGATAGATGGTGGTGAAGAAGAGGAATCCGGAGAGGGGACAGAAGATGAAGGGCAGGGGCCAGCGCATGTCATTGGCAGCCTCCACCATGCGGAACGGCAGGAAGAGCAGCAGGAGCAGGTCTGAGAGGGTGAGGTTGAGCAAGAGCACGTCCACGGCCACTGGGCGCCGCCGCAGCTTGCCCACGAAGATCACCAGGGCCACCACGTTGAGGGGGAGCCCCACGAGGAAGGTGAAGAGGTACACGGAGAAGTAGAGCCAGTGATTGCCGGGGAAGAAGGATAAGTTCGGGCTTGTGCCCATGGTGCTGGCCACTGGAGAAAGAGACAGCTAGATGGAGGGGGCAGTCTGGGGGAGGGAACCTTCGTTCCCCATGCCAGCAGCATCTCAACCATTGACAGGGAACCGTCACCCCCCACCCCCGACCACCGCATGCCACCTGATACTTTCTCCAGCAGGGTCAGCCTGCCTGTCTTCCTGCTCATGCCCTGTCCCCTGTCCCTTCCCACCAAGGGGCCCCCTTCCAAGTCCCTCATGGCCCCATGCTCACCTGCTTATTTGAGAACCCAACTGCTCTTCCCCCAGCACTTTGCTGACTCCTGCAGAACAGTGTAAGTTAGCTATTTATCTGGCAGAACTGATAAAGACCCGTGACATCATTCACTGTTGAGCAATCGCACAAAAGATGCCTTTAGCTCCTTTACCAGCACCGTGCCAGTATGCAAAATGAGGAGCAAATTCCAATGACTATGTGCCTTGCTCTTGGGCTGTCTCGGAGGGGATGCTCGAGCCAGCCCTGAGCCGACTTCACCTTCCCCTCCCGGATCCTCCACTTGATTTTTATCTGCTCCTCCGGGATGGCAGTCATCCAGTTTGCCTTGTAAGGGCAGGAAGCATGCAGCAGTAATGGAGAGCCTGGAATCTGGGGCCAGTGGTCTGGGTATGCTGCCGGCTCTGTCACTGACTCTGTGGTCTGCAGCAAGTGACCTAAACTCTCTATCTCCGCTTCTTCATCTGCAAAGCAGGGACCATCACAGTACCAATTTCATGGGGTTGTCATTAGATGAAAGCATTAATACCTGTCAAGGGCTGAGAAAGGAACCTGGCGTGTTGCGGTGAGTACTTAACAGATGTCAGCTGCCATCATCCCAGTCACTAGTATGGGCTTGTCTCCCGGGTGATGGTAATAATAAGACTAATGATGACAATGACTATTTAGGGGGCGCATAATCCATAGCAGACCCTCTGCCTCTGAGGGCATCGCCATTCTGTCCTTGGGCTTCCCTGTGGGGAAGTGACTCACTCTGGGCATTAAGAATCACCACCAGGGTTCAAACCCCAGTTCTGTCCGACTTCAGAGATTATGGATTTATTCATTCAAATATTTATGGAGCACAGTGAGATAACAATTTTATACCCGCTGGAATGGCTATGGGCAAAAAATTGGACAATGCCAAATGGTGGGCAGGAAGTGAAGGAATGGGACTCCTCTCATACATTGCTGGTAAGAATATAAAATGGTAGAGTGACTTTGAAAGCAGTTTCTTAAAACAGTTAATATCAATTTACCATGTGATCCAGCTCCACATAGGTATCTACTTCAACAATGTTCATAATAGCATTATTCATAATAGCCAAAAAGTAGAAACCCACCAGACCCCCAGTGGTCCATCAGCTGGTGAATGGATGGATCGTGTGGCATGTCCATACGATGGATTACTATTTGCCAGTAAAATGGAATGAAATACCTATGACTACTAGAACCTCAAAAACATGCCAAGTGAAACAAGCCAGACATAAAAGGCCATACACTGTATGTTTCCATTTATATGAAATATCCAGAGCAGGCCAATTTGTATCTACAGAAAGTAAATTACTGGTTGCCCCAGGGATTTAGGGGGATTAACTGTAAATGAGCAGGAGGGGGTCTTACTGGGCTGATGAAAATGTTCTAAACTGGATGATAGTGACAGTTGCACACCTTAGTAAATTTGCTAAAAAGCATTGACTTGTACACTTAAAATGGGTGAATTTTATGAGATATCTATTTTATCTCAAATTAGTTGTTAAAAACAGTTTTTGCCATCATGGGTTTGGTGGAGTGAGGTCTCGGGGGATGGAGTGGTCAGAGGGTAATAAAGCCTCAGCACAGAGGCAGAGAACCACTGGGGAAGCACTTAAGGCAAAAGAATGGCAGGTGCACAGGCTGACCTGCTGGGGGGACCTTGTAGAAGGCTTCGGGCTTAAGGGGCAAGGGTCATGAGGGTGCTGGCGGCAGATAGTGTGGGGCTTCAGGGACCCTAAGGAGGAACTAAATTCCACCCCTGGGAGCAGGCACAATTCACCAGAAGAAGTGGTCCAGCAGCAGCAGGTGCTCCCAAGCAGTGGGAGAGAGAGCGGTCCCTGGCTTTCTGGGAGGGGGGCAGTGAGGCCACTTGGGCTGGAGGTCGGCTTACCCTGAAATTCTCTGCTCTCACCACTGTGCAGGGAATAAACTTGTTTCTCGCTTCTGCGGAGCCTCAGGCAAGTTACATAACTTCTCTGGTCTGTTTTCATTTAATTATAAAACAGGAAATAACATTTTCCTTGAAAGGCTATTGTGAACATTCATTCCTGTAGCAAACATTTGTTGAGAGCCCACTATGTGCCAAGCTCCCCTCTAGGTGCTGGGAATATATCAGCAAATAAAATTCCTTGCCCTCGTAGACATTTATGCATAAAAAGAGATATCTTGTATAAACCGGTTCGTGCACGCCAGGCACGTAGCCAGCCTTTCTGTGTCTTATGTGTTCGTGGCATTAACGTCTTTAGAGGAACAAGTCGCTTCATCAGAGCAGATACCCAGATGTTTGTCTCCTCCATGGCCACTCTCCTCTACCCACTCTCTCGGGGTTCAGGGTGCCACCATTCACCTTTGCAAAGTGGACCACAAGGACAGGCATTCACCCTGATACCCCAAGTGTTTCAAATGCCCCCTAACCCTTGGGGGTCTTGCCTTGAAGGATCGCATCCCACATCCCACCCCTTCCTTGCTGTAGAGCCTCGGGAAAATTTCTTAAGCTGCAAAGACGGTGATAATACTTGGTCAGGGACTGTAGCTGACTTATGCAGTGCCTCTGTACAAATTAGGAAAAGGCACCCCCCCCCAGGTGGCAGCACCCTCCGCCAGGATGCACTGCTCGAGGAGTGAGTGGTATCTTTGTTCAAATTAGGATAACATGTTCCTTCCTCTGGATGGAAGCAGCCCCATGCCAGGCACATGGCTTGGCGAGCAAACAGGTTAGAATTTAGTCAGTTTGCCTGTCTGCCTGGCACACTTGTGCAGTGAACCACCTGCCCATCTGTACAGCAGCTGCATGGCCAAATCAAAGGATTGTGTGAAATGGGACCACACTTTTAAAGCGCTTGATGTGGTGACTGTCACATCTTAGAGACTCTGTGTTTGTTTGTGACTATTTCTGGTGTTGCTGGTATTTTTTCTCCGTGCTGAAGCAGCTTTTCCTACCAACTTCCTGTTCACAGTTCCAATGCTGCCCTCTTGTGAGTTCCACATGGTATAACAGCATCAATATCTTGCCTCCTGCCTCTTCCCTTACTCAGAAATTAAACTGTTCTTTCCTAGGAAGCATTTTGGGAGTAGCATCCCCCAAAGTGTATCAGCAGAGTGGCATTTCCTCTAGATTGGAAGAAAACTTCCATAGCCCTGGCAGGTGGGGCAGGAGGAGAAGAGGGACAGGCAGAGGTGGGGAGTCGTGCTGATATGCACAGAGGCAAGCTTACCTTCCTTCTGTGTCCTAGCCCCTGGCCTCCGTTCTTCCCTGCAGCTGGGATGCAGTCTTCTGCCAGGCTCAGTTCTTTCCGTAAGCAGGTCCAAGGATGCTCCCAGGCCAGGCTGCCCTGCAGTTCCTTTGGCTCCGGGCTCCAGGGGCCCAGACAAGAAGCCAGGCTCTCCTGCTCCATGCCCCTTCACCCCAGCAGTGGCTACTACTTCTGGGATGTCCCTCCTTTCGTTCTTGCCACACTTGTTACCCGCCCAGCACCCCCTCCCAAGTAGCCAGTCACCAGCGGGTTGAGCACCACGCTCCAAGCCCCTGTGATGAGCCCCAGTTTCCGCCAGTAGCCTCCCATGTCGGGGTGCAGGAAGCCAGCCACATTGGAGGCATTGTAAGGTCCTAAGCAGAGCAGCAGCGTGAGCAGAGCCCCGCCGGCCACCCAGGCTGCCCTTAGCTTCCGTCTGTGGCTCAGGCCTGAGCGGACCAGTGCCCGGAGGCAGCCCACGTAGCAGAACGCTGTAATGCTCAGGGGCAGGAAGAAGAGCAGGAGAGAGAGGCTGAGGCGAGCAGGGCCCGCTGAGGCTGGGTCCCAGGCCTCCAGGCAGACTGGAGAGCCGTTGACTGGCGTGTTGATGCCCAGTGAGCTGGTGGTATTGTCCATCCAGCCTCCCGGAGCCTCCAACCCAAACACCAGCCCCAGGTGACAGAGGACAAGGGCCCATATGGCCGCACACACCCCCCAGGAATAGCGTGGCCTCCGGGCCGCTTGGTAGCCCAAGGGGAAGGCAGCCCCTAGGTAGCGGCCGACGCTCAGGGCAGCCAGGAAGCCCCCGCCAGCATAGAGTGGAGCGAAGTGGGCCAGGGCAAAGGCAGGACAGAGTGGGGCCGGCAGAGGCCAGGCGCCCAAGGCCAGGGCCTCCACTGCCTTCAGGGGCAGAGAGGCTGCCAGCAGGAGGTCAGAGCAGCCCAGGTGGAGGGCATAGACAAGGCTGGGGGTGAGGCGGAGCCGGGCATGGGACACGGCGCCCCCAATGGCCAGGGCGTTGAGCGGGAAGCCCAGCGCAAAGGCGGCCGCGTAGAGAGCGAAGGAGAGCTGCGGGGGCAGGTCCATGGGGCCGGGGTTGGCCTCCGCGCTCCTGAGCTCCACTTGCTCCCCACCCTTGGGTCGGCCTGGGGCGGGGGGGCGGGGAGGGTGTCAGGGGCCCCTGGGGTCACAGACTGCTCAGGGTATTAGAAGCCATCTAGTGAGATACCAACTATCTCAACCAGAGAGGCCCACTAGGGAGGTGGTGCCAGTGAGCAGGTGAGTCTGGGTTCGGAGTGAGGATGGCTAGCCCTCCGTCCTTTGCTTTCTTTCCACCATATCCTCTCTTAGAACACAACGGAAGCGGGCACGTCCCGTTAGAGGAAAGACCTCCTGATTTCTGAGACTAGGGAGAGAAAGGGTAGAAAATTAGCACAGAGTTGGGCCCCACGGTGTGTGTGTTTTTCCTAGGCCTGGAAGTTAGAGTCCTGCATCCCCTCCCCTCCCCCAATTGCCTGGAAGGGAAGCAGCTGCCCCCCTCCCCCCAACAGGGACAGCGGAAAGCCTGCAGAGCAGCTGGTGGAGGGTTGGTGGCAACTCCTACCCGGGCGGGGGGAGGGGGATGTCAGAATTTGGGTAAGGTGGAGACTGTGGCCAAGGGCAGGTGAAGGGGGGGTGCCAGGGCAGAGCCCAGGGGTAAGCCGGGTCCCGTCAGTGCCATAGGGAATGACCTTAACCAACTCCAGGGGGCACGCTAAGCAGGTAAGCTAAGGAGTCTGTGGGAATAATTGCCATGAAGAGAGGAGCCACAGAAAGAGGGACTCACCTCTTGGTGCTGCCTGCTGTCTCTGAGGCTCAGGAGTCCCCCTGGCTGGGCTGAGGGAGGGTGTCCGGGATGGGCAGTGAGCTGGAAGAGAGGGCGGGGTGGCAGGGCCATTAGCCTGAGCCATCAGCAGCCTGGGTGAGCAGCTAATGGGGCATCTCGAGCAGGAGCTGAGGCCAGGAGGTGAGGGTCCAAACAGATGATGCAAACACAGGACGGGGACAGGGTAGCACTGAGGGTTTTTTCCTAGGCAGCGTGAGGAGTGTGCAGCTAGTCCCTTAAAGGAGCAGGGTTGTCGGGGGACAACCAGAACACAGCTCAATCCCACCCCACCCCAGCCTGTTCAGACCTGCTCTGGGCACTGTCTTCTCTTCTCCTGGATGAGCCTGTGGACAGGCCCCGGCCTTACGCGCTCGCTCATAGATAACACACTATGGTGGCCCACACCACGTCCATTTGGTGACTGATAGATGCGGGATGATGGAGTCATCATTTCAAGGTGTTGTCTCTGTGACAGGCTGTGGGCACGTTTTGGGAGGAGAAGGTTTTCCCTCTCCTTTCCCTTCTGGCTCGAAGACAATAATTTCTGCCCCTACCTTCTGGTGCTGGCAGGAGTGCAGAGGAGGACAGACAGGGATGGGTCTCCTTTGGTGGCGCTGAAGTGCTGGGCTTCTCTCTGGGGCACTTGGAGGGACACTGAGCGGCTCTTACTAAAGCACAGATGGTGCAAGACTCCAGCTGGCTGCTTAGCTTTCTTCTCGGCCTCTGAGAAGTCAGCCGTTTACCTCCCTGCTGGGGTCACCCTGCCCCTCTAGGAAGACCTAAGTGAGATTTAAAATGGCCACAGGCTGTCTCTGTGATTCTGTCTCTCTCTCTCTCTGATTATGCCTGGGTCTCTCTGTCTGCCTGTCTGTCTCTGCCTCAAACAGACAACACAGCCCCTCTCTCTGGACTTCAGACTTCTCTGTTTTGGGGTGCGTGTGTCGGTCATCAGGCCGCTACATCCTTCCAAATCCCAAGTCACCCCAAACAAGCTTCACTGGTGGTTTCCCGGAAGTGCTCCCCACCAGGCTTCCGGTGAGGGCAGCATGGGATTCTCAGCATATCAAACCATTGCCTCCAAAGAAATAATCGGATCCCCTTTTTCTACTTCAGTCACTCAACTAATTCTTGGTTGCCTCCCTTCCCTGTCCTACCTACATCGTCCAGCAGCTCCCTTGGGGTGTAGAAGAACTTGCCATCTGTTGTTTAGTATTTTATCTTTGAGAAACTGACAGAACCGAAGAAAAGTTAAAAGGAGGGCCATTTCACCTCCTGTAACCAGCATTTGGAAGAGGAGAAAAGCAGGGCGTGAAGGGAGACGTTGGATCTTCAAGATCCCTGCTTTGGCCCACACCTCTGGCGGTTCAGGTCTCTGCCCAGTGTCACCTCTGCCGAGGGCCTTCCTCGAACCCTCTCCAAATGGGCCCCTCCCCTGCTCCAGTCTGCCTTCATCTTGCATGGTGTTTATTCCTAGCACTCACGAGCCTGTGACATCAGATTTGCTGGCCCCTCTGCTAGAATGTTGGTCAGCGAGGCCCAAGATTTCTGTCTGCTTTATCCTCTGCTTGTTGCATCCACAGTAGGGGCTCAGTAATTGAATGAACCGCTGGATGTCTGGGCCATGGGAGGACCGTGAGATCCGGGGCTGCATAGAGGGCTGCCTGGATTCTGGAGGCCCTGGCTTCAGAGTTGTTTGAACTCTCTTGGCCTGTTAACAGTCACATCTCTCGGTCAATTGGTCACGAAGTAGGTTTATGTCAGCAGCTGGGCTCGGACAGGATGGCAGGGCCCCTGCTGGTTGCCAGGGAGCCTGGGCCAGGCCCCACCAGGTTCAGGGCTGCCTTCAGCTCTTTAGAGGGACCCTGCCCTAAAACCTTTTGGGCACCCTAGACTAGAGATCACCAAGATGAGGATGATGTCATTCCTTTTTTGTACCCCAACAAATGTTCTATGCTGGATGCATTGACGTGTGCTTGGTAAATGTTTGCTAAATAAACAGTTGAATGGGTGAATGATCCTGGACCTCATTCTTGAGACAGAAAGCCCAAACCCTTACCCTCAACGAGACAGTTCTTGCTGTCCCCCCTTCCTCCAGAAATGCTAACTTCACACTGGGGACAAAGTGGATTGGTGGGGAAATGAGTGCCTCGGTCTGCCGTAATTCCAAGGATGACCAGAACATCGTCTTCTCAGAAAGCAGATTCCGGTCTCAAGCAGATGGGAAGGGAGGGCAGGGAAGGAAGGTGGCACGTGTGGAGCGCCCACCACGGGCCAGGAACTTACATCCCCTTGCTGATGGACTAACCACGTGTTTCTTCTTCTAAGAATCGGTGGAGAAAGGTCAAACCTGAGACGTGGAGGGGAAGCTGGGAGGACCTAACTGGAAAGTCTGAGTTAGCGAACATGACAGGGAGCAGGTGACGTGAGGGTAGGGGAGAGAAAAGTGGTGAGGTTTCTCAAGGCAGCTGGCTTTCAAGAAGTTCTTGGGCAACTGTGGGTTGTGACCGGACTTGGCAGCGGGACTTTTGAAAACAGCTCAGAGTGGTGAATCGGCTTCCCCTTCTTACATTCAAGAGCGGCAGACAAGATGGCAGTCTGGTTTTTAGGGACTTTTGGCTGTTGTGTCAGGTTTCTGATAATGTGACTCCAGCATATGTACTACTGTCCCTCACTTCTTCTTTTCTTTTCTTTTTTTATTTTTTCTTCTTTTTTTAAAAAATATTTTATTTATTTATTTATTTATTTATTTATTTATTTATTTGACAGAGACACAGTGAGAGAGGGAACACAAGCAGGGGGAGTGGGAGAGGGAGAAGCAGGCTTCCCGCAGAGCAGGGAGCCCGACGCGGGGCTCGATTCCAGGACTCTGGGATCATGACCTGAGCCGAAGGCAGATGCCCAACCAACTGAGCCACCCAGGCGCCCCGGCCCTCACTTCTTATCTTGAGCCGCCTGCACCGTAGGTGGTGGCACCTCCAGTTTGCAGATGAAGAAACTGAGGCTCAGATGAGCTGGTCACTGAGCTCATTAGCAGAAGGGTCAGGACTCAGACTTGCGCTGGTCCACCTGTAGGTCCAGTGCACCCTTTGCAACAAGACAGTGGTCTCCCCGGTCTGCTGATTTGACCCTGAGGTTGCCCCAACCCCTTTCTCTTCTCCCCAAGCCCCACGAGGCCCTCCTAAATCTCCCCGTTGTCACTCTGACCTCACAAACTGGAAGTTGTTCACGGGTTCTTTGAAGTGGTGTCTGAGCCATTTTTATTATGCAGTTCTGTGTGTGTTACACGTCTGTCCACACCAGTGTGTGTCTCAGCCCACAAGACCCCCGAGGGCAGGGGCTGCAGCAGCGTAATGGAATGCCTCACTGATGCGTGGAGGAGAACCCAGCGCAGGACAGCCCCTCTTCTCCCTGAGCTTTGCCCCAGAGGCAGAAATTAGGCACAGGACGAGTGAGTGGGGCTTTCAGAGCAGGGATGAGGGGGCCATAGGAATGGAGAGGGAAAGAAAAAAACACAGTAACAAGCTGATCCCAGCAGGGACGCTGGCCTGCTGGGGCCAGGGTTTGAGGGGGTGGGCGGTGGCAGGTGGTCGGGGAGGGGCAGGGGGATATGTGCAGTGCAGGATCAGTGTTTAGACGACCTTCCCCGTGGGAAAGAGAGCAGACGGGGAGCAGGCCTTTGGGAGGGTCAGGGTTACCATCGTTGAGAAGGAAGCCTGCCTCTAGGCCACATAACGAAGTTTTCTGGGCGCTGACTGAGGCATCACTGGTGATGTGCATGTGTGCATGTGCCTGCATGTGGAGGGGAGGTTGAGTGGCTTTGCGACTGAGCAGGAGGGGTGGGGCAACCTCCACGACCACCCGGCCCCTGCAGTCCCTCCCTTGGCGCCTCTGCTCCAGCGGGTTTGGCCTGTCAGTGCTTGAGGGTCACGTATTCCACGGCTTCCTGGGCCACAGGCCGCTTCCCCAACCCAAGATGAACCAGCTCTGAGTAATGTATCCCCTCATCTTCTGGACTGTCTGGAAGCACGTTCTCATAGTCGCCCTGAGAAAGCCACGTTGTGTGAGGCCACGGGCCTCCCGGTCTGCGGTCCCTGCCTGTTCCCGCCCTGGCTCCTCCTGGGGGGCCAAGAGCCCGAGCAGGAGTCTTCTCGTCCCCACGCTGGCTGCAGTCAGCGTCTCGGACTGGGCTGTGCTGCCCTGGCTCCGGCCACACCCGCGTCTGAGCAAAACGCCCCCACCAGCCCTTGCCACCACGGAGGCCACCAACTCCTTCCCATCTGGACTCACAACTGAGGCCAGGTCCCCCGCACCCCCTCCTTCCACAGCCCTGCCCTATTACCTCTCGACACTTCTGCAAGACAGAGTAAGTGACGGTGTCGTCCCTGTTTGGAGAAGGTCTCTCTGTCTCCAGGGTCCCTGCATCTCTGAGGGAGGGCAGATGGCTGACCGCAGAGGAAGCCTTTCGCATGAACTCTTTTCCTATTTCCAGCTCCCCTAGCCCCCGAGAGCACCCCAGAGCGGAGGCTGGCTCACAGGCCTGCCACAAAGAGGGCAGGCGGGACAGGAGCCGAGCCCTTCCTCCCACAGCCCTCCCCGGGTACACGCGTCACCCTCACAGGACCCTCACTGGGTACCCAGTTCTTGGTGTGTCAGTCTCGCCGAAAGGAAAGCGCAAGGTGGCGTAACTGATGGCATCTTCCATCACCGGATTGTAGCACCCCAGGGAGTGGGGGTCTTCGGAGAGCGGGGCCCTTCTGACCTGGGAGAGAGACAAGGCCTCAGTTCTCGCCACTCCTTTCTCCACCTGAGTCCCCCTCCCCTGGCCTCTGACCTCCGACCTCCCCCCCAGTGCTCTGCACCCCCCTTGGTCCACCCTTGACTTCTGGGTCTGCCTCCAGGTCTTTTTCCATCCTACCTTTTGCTTCCTCACAAAGAAGCTCTGCCCACTGGAACTTTCCTGGAGCCCCTGCTGGCTCCGTATCCTCTTCCAGCTAAGAAATAAAGCCCCACTCGTGAGGATCAGGGGAGTGGGGACAGGACCCTGTGCAGTGGGCATGCTGGGGGCTCCAGGATGGTCGACTGGAGTCACTCCGGGGAAGGAATCAGGGAGAGCCAAGGGACATGAGCCTTGGGAGGAGCTCACCTTCGCTGAAGTTTGACTCCCCAGAACACCAGGAGTAGGGTGGCCAGGCAGAACCCCACTCCCACAGCCACTCGCCTGCCGATGGTCTCGGGGCTGTCTGGTGGGGGAAGGAGCGACCGTGAGTTGGGGATACTGCCTCTCTCAGATCACGGGCCAGCATTGCCTTGCAGCATTTTCCCGGGAGGCATCCTCAACTTCTCTGCAGGGCCGCTCTCGTTGCCTGGGCAACTTCTTCACACGTAGGGGCCGTGATGCACAGAAAGGGAGAAGCCGGCCCCTGCCCACTGGGGCCCCGTTGGGAGGAAAGGGCTAACTCTCAGGAAAGCACCTGTTTTGTGACAGACACAGGCACACACAGCACATGCAGTAAAAGCTGCAGCTTCCTTAGAGGCTGCTTGGCCATACTTATCAGAACTTAAAATCATTTGTCCTTTGATGCAGCAATTCCATGTAGGAATTTATCCTGCAGCTGTCCTTCAGGGGTACCAGAGCCAGAGACAGCGCAGGGCTGTGGGGAAAGCGCGGGGTAGATAGGGTTTGCCGCTTCCACGCGTGGGAAGACAGACAATAACAGTGCAGCCCTGAGGGAAAGGGGCACGTTGCCAGGGTGTCTGCAAAAGTGGAGACCCCAGACACAGGTTTTTATACAATATGTTGCATTTCCAAATAACACGTTCAGGCATCCAGCTTTGCAGGCCATGATCCTCTAAATCTAAAGCCATGCCTCCAAGTTTAATCTGAAAAAGTACAATAAATCAATTAAATAACTTCCCCATTGTTTCCAGACCCTTGCATGCACGGATATAGAACAATCTCTGAGTGGTATTGTTACGTGGGAAAAAAGAACGTCCAGGACAACGTGTGAGCTCTCCTGCGATTTGCATGATGACGAGAGTGCAGACTAGGCCTACTTATTGTATTGTGCGCGTGCAGAATAGCTCTGTAAAGAGATGCAGACAGCTGCCGGCGGTGAAGGCCTTCAGGGAGGGGTAGAGTCCTCAGGGAGAAAGAAAGGAGAAGTGTCTTTCTACTATTTACCCTTTTGTGCTATTTTATTTTGCCTTGTCTTAAAAAAAAAAAAATACAGAAATCTCAACAGATAAAGCTAAGCGGGCTACCAAGGGTGAGACAGAGAGGGACCCAGCAGGAGCTCAGGATGTCTGGCAGGCAGGGAGGCCTGAGAGAGAACTGCCCTAGAGAGAGTCCGGAGAGACTTCGAGAAGGAGGAGGACAGGTGAGCCTGTGTGGGGCAGGCACTGTGCCTGGGAGTGACCGGCTGGGCTGCCCCACAGGACAGGGGAGGGAGGGAAGGAGAAGGAGGGGCCAGAGAAGGAGAGGGAAGGGGCCTTACAGTAGACAGTGAGGGTGCTGGGGGGCGACTGGACCCTGCCCAGCTGGTTGGTTGCCTCACACCAATAGGCGCCTGAGTGCTGGATCTTCACGGGATCCAATCTCAGCATCTGATCATAATGGTGGAGGTTCTGGTTTTTCCAGTCAAACCAGGTGTACTGGAAGATGGGAGGGTTGGCATCGCTCTCACATGTCAGGACTGCCTTCTTCCCCTCCATCACTTGGTCCTTTGGGCTGATGGCCACACGCAGCATCCTTGGTGCATCTACAAGGAGAAGCAAAATCGGGATCCAGGTAGCTGGTCACGGGCTCTTCTGTCTGTCTCCAGCTCCAGCCGCTCACTCACACAGCACTTGGAGCCTCCTGGCCTCAGACATGGTCTGTCCTATGGAGTTGTTGATGAAGCAGTTGTAATTGCCGGCATCTTCTGGAGAGATGGAGTCAAAGCTCAGTTCTTTTCCTTCCTTCAGAAAGATTCCATTTCTCTTCCAGAAGAAGCGGACATCTCTGGGGCGGCTACTTGAGAAGTTACATCCAAGGAGGACTCGGTGCCCGGAGTGAATCTCAGAAGGGGGGCTGATCTGCTGGACCCTGACATCCTTGGGGGCATCTGGAGAGCAAGGGCCTCAGGCTGACCTCTTGGGTCCCTTTCCCTCTTCCTGGCCCTAAGGATAGACTCTCAGCCCTCAATTCTCTGTGAAGGTTCCAGCCCAGGCCCCAGTCCCCTCACCCTGAGAGCCCATATCCCAGCTGGGCTACCTCTTGGGTCCCCTTGCCCCGTCACTCACGCTGGACATCCAAGTTGACAGAGGGAGCCCATGAACACCACTGGTTACAGGCTGCACAGGCAATCGGCCTGGCGTCCCAGGCAACTTTTTGAATTATCAGCACCCCGGGTGATTGTTCCTTCCAGGAGCCTTGGAGGTTCCATTCATATCGGGTAACTCTGGGATTACTGGAACTGTAGTTACATGACAGGGTCACAGTGTCTCCTTCTCGAATCCGTGTGGGGTTTTGAATCACTGTGGTTACCTCCTTGGGTGCATCTGGGAGGAAACCAGACAGATGGGTGAGGGAAACTCAGCTGTCCAGACTACCTTTCCCAGTGCTTACTCCTCCACCCACCCCCACCCACGCCCCAACGTATCCCCTGGTTAATTCCTAAATTAACCAAAAGAAGGCTCGGGCTTTCCTTTCACATCTGTGCGAGGACAGGAGCCATGGCTGTGGTTTGAGGCAGGAGGAGGCGACAGGTCAGAGCAGAGCTCAAGCAGAGAATGCGTGGTGTATGCAAGGCAGAGGCACCCTGTCTGTGGGTCTCCGCAGGGGCCTGGGGCGCAGAGCTAGTTTGCTGTAGTGCAGGCATTAAGGGGCAGGGGGAGGGAAAAGCACAGCTCTGGAGCAAGATGGACTGAGAGCTGAGTGATCGTGGGCCATGGGACTCAGTTTGCTTCACCATCAGATGGGGTCCTAAGAGCACCTAACCTGGTAGATTCAATGCCAGGAGGAAATGAGATGAAGCACTCAGAGTGGAGTAAACGCTCCAGAAACATTCCTGCTGCTGCTGCTGCATCACACACCCACTGTCTAGATGTTTGGGATTCGAGCATCCCCATCAGAATATCTGGCTCAGACTCTGATATCCCAGGATCCAAGGCTCAAGCTTAGGGATTCTCTTGGCCCTGGGCTCGACTGACAGACAAGATTCACTATGTTAAACAGGGTCCGACCTCTGATGGAGAGGCAGTGAGACATTTCGCTCCAGTTCTCGAAAACTTCAGGCCCCCTTCTGGGACTCAGCCACTGCCTAGTGACACCAAGTTCTCTGCATCCCTCACAGGGCCCTGGCGGCTTGCAGTTCATTCATTCAACAAACATCTACTGAGCACCTGCCACGAGCCAGACCCTGTTCTGGTGCTGGGTATACAACTGGAAACAGCAGCAAAGCATCCGCCCGGGGAGCATACATGTTGGGAGACCCCCCTGCTTGCTGTCCATGCTAGGACCCAGGAATCTCCTGCACCCGCTGGAACCCAGAGGCCCTGTGACTACTTACATTGGACATCTAACTCAGTCTCCTGGCCAATTGGTCCAGGACCAAGTCTGTTTTCTGCCAAGCAGGAATACTGCCCAGCATGGCTGAAGAAGACCTCTGGGATCTGGAAGGTCTTGTTTGTCATTCCTGGCACTTTTAATTCATTGTGATACCAGGTGTAATTGGTTGGAGGAGGATTGGCCAGTGACGTACAAGTCATCTCTACTTTATTTCCCTCCTTAGCTGGCGAGGAGAAGATCTCAACCCTGGAAGGTTCCGGAGCATCTGGAAAAAGGTGCAGAGGCAGAGGAGGAAGGTGAACAGAGGCCTCTGTTGTTCACCTCTCAAGGGTCTTGGTTCCACCCCCTGCTAACTCCCTACCTGCCCCCCTCCCAGCTCCCAGGAGGCTCACAGTACACTTGGAGGAACACTTCATCCGACTGTCCTGAGCCTAGATCATTGAAGGCCTCACACTGGTACTCTCCACTCATCTTCCTGGTCACAGAGGACAGAGTTAACGTGAGTGTCTCCTGCTCCCTCAGCCGGGTCCCATCCTTGAGCCAGGCTATACTCCGGAACTCTGGGTTGCTGCTGATGACCTGGCAGGTCATGGTCACAGACTCTCCCTCTGTTACATTGGCTCCTTCGGGACTGACCTCAATCTTCAACTTTGGGACATCTAGAGGAGCAGAGGGGCAGCAGGAGAGGGGGTAGGGACTTCTCAGAGGGTGTCACGTGGGGGGAAGTCGCTGGGCTTTGATTCAGATAAAGCAGCGGCCTACACATAGCGTGGGAGTGTGGGCAGCCACTCGCTGTCCCCCTTATCAACAAGGGTGGGCTGGTCCAAGCACCTGGGTGACGGTCACGGACTCCTAACTTGTCTCTTTGCTCTGCACACCACCCCCCACCCGTTCCCAGAGTTCTGGTCTCCACCAGCAGTCAGCTGTCTTCCTGATACCGTCAATCAGCCTTTGCCACTCCCCTGCTTGAAACCGTTTAGTGGATTCCACACCCAGAATAAAATCCAAAACGCTGCTGCCACCCATGAGGTCTGGCCTTGGCCCTCCTTTCCTATCACTGGGCCCCTCAGATGCAGGGCTGAGGCTCGCTGGCCCCTTGCTCTGGCGCAGGCGCACAAAGCTTCTACCAGCCTTTGTCCTTGCTCTTTTCTTTTCCTGGGATCTTCTGGCAAATAGCTGCCTGCCTCAATCTTTCCCTTCACCCAAGTTCACTGTCCTCAGAGAAGCCTCCATCCTTCCCTCCCTCCCTCTGTCTGAGCCCGGCTTTACGTCCTCCTAATACACTTATCACTGCCTACCCTTAAGTTCAGTATTTCTTTGTTAATCTAGTCATTGTTTGTCTTCCCCAGCGGCAGTGCCATCTCCTCAGTGGGCAAGAACAGGCCTGGCACCTAGGAGGCTCGTAGTAAATATTTACTGAATGAATGAATGGGGCACAAACAATGATGCGAAAACATTTCTTACCCCACACCCCCTACCCAGGGGAAAAAAAAAAACCCACCACATGATCTCAAATTCACATCGTGGCTCGAGGATATTAAATTCTGTTATTCTTCTAGACCAAAGCAGATGCTAAGATGAATCTGTTCCCTGAAACACTGGGGCTGACAACAGGGGTGGTGGAGGGACGCAGCCCTGGCTGGACCTTTCCCAGCCGTGGGTGTTCATGGACCGATTATGTGTCCTTCCGTGGAGGTGCCCGCTACCCTTGGTGCGCTCTGAGGGGTTGAGGAGAAGAGACAAGACCCTCATCCCTGGCACTCGGGGACACTCACGCTTCACATCCAGCAACACCGTTTCCTCGGAGAGGATCCGCTCTACTTTGGGGTCCCAGAGTTGGCAGGTCAGATTCTTGCCGTGGTGCGTCCACTGCGGCTGGAAGGTGAGCTTGCTCTGGGTGGAGACAGTCTTGGTGGTCAGGGAGGTCAAGGTGACGGCAGGCTCCTCCACGGACCACTGCAGCTGGATCTGGTACCCAGGGCAGGAGAAATTCAGCAAGCAAGTCAGAGTGACTTCCTGGGACTCCTGGATTTCTGGAGGGAGCTGAATGTGAGGTGACAGGGGTGTCTCTGCAAAAGAGTAGGGGCCAAGCTGGAGGCCTGGGAGACCAGGGGCCTGTGCCAGCCTCTCACACCTGGCTGTAGATGCCCCACCCCCAAAGAAGCCCTCAGGAGCCCCTCTCCAGTCCCTTCCACCTCTCTCTGGGCCTGCCTTTCTCCGCTTTGAATTACTTTTGCTCTGCCGAAACACTCTCTAAAAGGTCTAGTGAATGCTGATGCTCCTTAGGAATCAAATTTTATATTTTATACTTACCTCGTTCTCCTTTCCTGATACTTGCTCTCTAAACATTTTCAAGATCGCTCCCCCACCCCGAGGGAATTTTACCAGGTTAGGTCACCATGCCTTTCTTGGCTTTGATGACAAACCTACATTTGTAATGGCCTCAATGCTGGGAGCCATCCAGCACAGCATTCCTTTAGGGATCCCTGGGGCTGGGCCACCCTAGGACTGCAGGTCTGAAGCTACATCTCTCATCGCAGTGTAGGGCTGCTTAGCTTAGACCCCTCCAACCCCCGCACTGAAGAAACAGGCTGTGGGGTGGAGGTCCCAGGCCTAGGTTTCATTAATCCCCTACCTGTGTCTCTTTTAGACATGAAGGCCTAATTAGAATCAATTGACAACATTAAGGCATTGGGAGATTTCCCTCAAATCAAAGATTTCCATCTTCTTTTGAAAAATCAGGCAACCCAGGGCACCTGGATGGCTCAGTTGGCTCAGGTCATGATCCCAGGATCCTGGGATCAGCGCCTCATCAGGCTCCCTGCTCAGTGGGAAACCTGCTTCTCCTTCTCCCTCTGCCTGCCACTCCCTGTGCTTGTGCTCTCTCTCTCCCTCTAATAAATAAATAAAATCTTCAAAAGAAAAGAAAAGAAAAATCAGGCAACCTGGAACCCAGATTCCAGCATGGGTGGAAGCTGAGGGGCAGGTGCAATGGTTGAGGAGAGACAAGTACTCGGGCGGCAGGCCTCGTTGTCTTGTTACACCCCGGTCACTTACTGGCACCTCCTGCCTGGCCTCTACAAGTAGTCTGGTTTGCGACCCCTGTCCCAGGAGTTGGGGGTTTCCCACATTCCTCCTTGCCCGAAACCGAGGCAGGGGACCCCATCCCCCAGGGCCTTACTAGAGACGTTGAGGTCTATTTTCTCCATCCATTTGCCAGCCTTCGTTGTCAACCTCAGCCCCAGCCAGCCATTGTCTTTTTCCAACACAGGGTTAATGCTTATGGTGCAGTTGGATCTTTGGTCTCCCAGGAACTGAACCCTCTCTGGGGTATGGTCATCCCCCAAAGACTTTGTTTTCTCATAGAGAATGGGCCCCTTGAAGTTCTTGGTGGTGTCGTCATATTCATAGTTGCTGTACAAGATCAGGTTGTCCAGCTGATCTCTACGCAGTGGAGCTGTGTATTGACAGGGAATCCAGACGCAGGCCCCATCCCAGCTGTAGAGAGTGTGGGGGTGCTCAAAGCTCCATTTAGTTGAGTCAGAGAAGGCCAAGTATTCTGGAACCCACCACACTGATCAAAAAACATTATTGAAGGACATAAAGAGCTTTCAAATGAATAAAGAATCCCCTCTGAAGATAGAGGGAGAGAGGAAGGTACACAAAGAGAGGTGTATACGCACACATACCCTGCTTCTCCCCACCCTCCCCAACACTTACTCTTTGCTCCAGAGCTCTCCTCCTCCCCCAGCTCCCACAGACATCCCAGAACCCAAGCCTAGACCACAGTCCTTACCAAGGAGCAGGAGCGAGGGGCCGAGGAGATGCATGGTGCTGTGTCTAGGCAGGAGCCTGGGCCGGGAAGAATTTGTCTTTGAGCCATCTGGTCGCTTACTTCTTTCAGATGGCTTTTCTTGCTCACCCACCAAGCTCCAACCCCTCTTCCCTGATCCTAGGAGGACCACATCTGGTTGCATTGCAAGATGTGAATTCTGGATGTTCATGGGGCCTTTTGTGGGAATGCCATGTCTATTCTGTCAGCCTAAGAACTCTGTACAGTGAACCTGCCTCTCTTCCTAGCCCCTCTTCCTTTCTTCCATCCATCCTTCCTTCCATCCATCCATCCATCCATTCATTCTTCCTTCCATCCATCCATCCATCCACCCATCCACCCTTCATTCCATCCTTCCATCCATCCATCCAACCATCCATCCATCTATCCACCCATCCACCCTTCATTCCATCCATCCATCCATCCATCCATCCATCCTTCCATCCATCCCATCCTTCCTTCCTTCCATCCATCCATTCTTCCATCCATCCATCCACCCATCCACCCTTCATTCCATCCTTCCATCCATCCATCCAACCATCCATCCATCCATCCATCCACCCTTCATTCCATCCTTCCTTCCTTCCATCCATCCATCCATCCATCCATCCATCCATCCATCCATCCTTCCATCCATCCCATCCTTCCTTCCTTCCATCCATCCATTCTTCCTTCCATCCATCCACCCATCCATCCACCCATCCACCCTTCATTCCATCCTTCCATCCATCCCTCCATCCATCCATCCATCCATCCATCCATCCATCCATCCATCCATAATTTTACAAACTTCCTGCCCAGCTCTCAGGCTTTGAGTGGCACCAGACCACTGAGTGCCATGAATCCCAGGCCCAGGGTAACTTGAAGCTCACCTTGAGGCAACTAGTGAAGGGTTTTATGTAGGGCAGAGCCATGGTCAAAACTTGATTTTAAAGACCAGGAACAAAATTACTCTAAAACTAATAATTAAGTGTGATTCTAGGAGAGCATTTAGAGGGGTCTGGAAGAACTTAGGAGAATGTGGTCCAATGGTCCCACTTAGAGAAGCCCGGGGGTTGGGAAGAAAACATGAATTGGCCAGGGGGGCCCAGAGGTCATGTCTTAAGTAAAGGCAATGATGCCCTCAGTCCCAACCAATTGTTGCCAGTTGGGAACATGAGCTCAGCACTGCCTGACCTTTCACTGCTTTTGGAGAAGTAAGAAGCCAGATTTTCATGTGAAATGCCCTGCTTTCAGAAACAAACAAACCAACAAACATGGTGCTGGCCAAACCAAACCTGTCTACAGGCTGGAAGCAGTCCAAGGGCCCCCAGTGTGCAGCCATGGCCCATCTCTCTCTCTTGGAGACATCAGTGAGCTTATCCACCACCTTACTAGATTTTACATAAAGTTACATTTACAGAGAGTTAAATTTAAGTCCCAATTTGCATGGCTGGGCCTCTTTGTGCTGGTCCCTCTAGAGTTAGCAGGATGTGTGACAGAGTGTGTCTCCGGTCTCAGCACAGGCACAGACCTGCACCCCTCCCACCTGCCCAGCCAACATTTCCCACCAGCAAGGGCCCCTCACCCCCTCGGGCTGTTTCTCTCCTCAGGCTGCGTGGCTCATGCCAAATGCTGTTGGGTGTCCAGTACCCGGCGTGGGGAAAGTTAGGCTGCTTGCTGAGCAGGAAGGGGGTCTGTCCCCAGGAGTAGTGCCTGTGCTGGCCTGGGCTGGGCCTGGGTTAGGGATGAGGGCTCTGAATGGGGACAGACTTTCCAGGCAGAACTGACACCAGCTCTGCAGGTGCTAATAGTGCTACACACAAAAACGTCTTCAAGGCCACATCTACTTGAGAAAAGCTGGGTTAAAAAAGGTAAATAGAGGGGCGCCTGGGTGGCTCAGTTGTTAAGCGTCTGCCTTTGGCTCGGGTCATGATCCCAGGGTCCTGGGATCGAGCCCCACATCGGGCTCCCTGCTCCGCGCGAAGCCTGCTTCTCCCTCTCCCACTCCCCCTGCTTGTGTTCCCTCTCTCACTGTGTCTCTCTCTGTCAAATAAATAAAATATTTTAAAAAAAGGTAAATAGATTCCCAACTGTGAGTCTTTTTGATCCCTTTAATCAGCTGGGTGCGCATCAAACATCTCCCAACATGGGGGCTAAAGTACAGTCCATTGTTCACACTTCTTTAGCCATGGAACTGATTTTACATTTCCCGTGAAAAACTTGGCAGGGTTGCAGGTCAGTGTTTTGAGGGATGTGCTGTGGGTCCCCTTTGAGTTTCTATAAGAGCTGTGGCAAGGGCTAGATTCCATTTTTTGTGGTAAAGACTAGCCTCCAGTAGCTGGACCCTTGTGCCCCCTCTGCCACCAGCCGCCCTCATGGGGGAATGGCTTGGGGACACCAATGAGTGGGAAAGGGCACTTCTTAGAGCAGGGCTGTGTGCTCACCCCCAGCAGCTCCAGGCAGTCTCCAGGACATAAGAAGTGGGACCACGGGCCTGGAATTGGAAGGCTGCTGAGACAGGGTAGGGCGTAGAGGTGGGGAACAATAGGCATTGGGCACAAAGACTCAGGACAAGGCCACGTTATCCAGACCTGTGGCCTGCTCAACACAGGCCTGTTGAGGGCCTTACAAGACCTCAGAGCCAGGCTCCCTGAGTCCATTCTTCCCTCCTGGGCATCTGGTGACCCATCTTACTCTCAGAAGACTCATCAAGCCCATCAAGGGGCATGCTCAAAGACAGGGGTCTGTATCCTGTTATAACATAGGCAAGAGGGGTGGGGGGCTTCCCACTGTGCTCCCAGGCCCAAGAATTGTGCCTGGCACACAGCAGTTGCTCCATGCTAGCTCGCCGGATGCAAAAGAGAGCAAAATAGTTTTTACCTGTTTCCTCGTGTCTTCCTTCTTCGGGGACCCTGGCAGCGTCTGAGAGTGAAAGGGGAAGCACAGCGAAGGATTTTCACCGTCCTCGGCCACACCCCCTGCCCCTCAGTGACTCGCAGGGCAACCAAGAGGCATGGCAAAGTGGAGAGTTGGGAAAAGAGGGAACAAGGACAATGTGGGCTCAGAGGCAGATTGGAGGGAACACTCGAGTACCCACGGTCAGTTTTTAGTTTCAGTATATGGATTTATACATCAGATAGTTAGACCTAGTTCCTCCACAACTTCCCCTCTATCCAGCTTTCAGGAAATGCTGATAATTCAAGCCAAGCAGTTTAGAACTGCCAGCCTGCTGAAAAAGCCACAAGGCAATCTGAAATTTGTAGTTTATTTTATTTTTTTTTAAAGATTTTATTTATTTATTTGACAGAGAGAGAGCAAGCGAGAGCAGGAACACAAGCAGGGGGAGTGGGTGAGGGAGAAGCAGGCTCCCCACGGAGCAGGGAGCCCGATGCGGGACTCGATCCCAGGACTCTGGGATCATGACCTGAGCCGAAGGCAGACGCTTAACGACTGAGCCACCCAGGCACCCAGTATTTGTAGTTTAGTGCTACCATCCAGTTATTCTCATTCCCATACTTTTCCTCCAAAGGCAAGAATGGTGGGGAGTCTGGTCACTTACACTGATGCTTCAGCAGCTCCCAAGGGTCAAGGGAAGAGCACACAGATATCAGGAAGAAAAACGATAACTTAACATGAAGTGTTATTGAATGGGCAAGTCATGAGACTGGAACCTTACCACTTGGTCAGGCTTCTAGTCAGTGAGTGTCTTGAGACCGGAACCAGACATCAGCTAAAGCCATTCAAATCCTAGGGATTTGAACAGGGAAGTCTCTGAGAAATCTGTACCCTGGCATCACCAAACTCTACTGACTGCCAGCCATTGAGAAGGAAACAGAAAAGGGAAAGAACAGCTTGTTCAAAAAACAGTGATGTTCTGGGAAGGTGTATTCTTCCCTATTTCTTTTGCTAAGAACAACTAAAAACCCTGGATCCCTGGATGTTATAAAACAAGCATAAGAAGATACTGAAAGGTTGAGAGAAGACACACTGTTAGGGACTTTGGGACCTGAGGAATGATATGATGGTGAATTTCCTGGGTTTCACTGGATACTGAAGAAACAAGCAACTGGAAATGCCAATGGGCTCAGAAAAAAAGTTCAGCAAAACTCTGCTCTTCTAGCCAAAGAACCAAGAAAGGGGCAACCCAGAAAGACAAATCTTTCAGGCAATAACTGCTCTGCTCCAGCTAAATATCACAGAAAAACCTGCTGCTTCACTCCCACCCCTGACAGCAAAGGCTGAGTGGGGCCCTTGCTAGGCCGTAAAGAAGGGTCCAGGCCACTACCCCCTACCATCTGAGCGGTGTCAGAGGAGGCTGAATGTGGAGCTGGGCCCTCCATCCCCACTGGACTATTCCTCCCCACAGTGTTAGTGGAGACCACTTGGGGAGCCTGAACATCCACCCCCACCCAGTGGTGATGAGGCGTCATTCTCCTCACTAGAGTGGTGTAAGAGGAGGTCTAGGGGAGGGTCAGGACTTTCACCTCACTCAGTGGTCATAAGCCCACCTCCTACTGTGGAATCTACATGAAGTGATATGGAGAACAGTAATGAAGTACCCCTCCCTCTCCCAGCCAGGGTGGTATTAGTGGATGCATAATGGGGAACCTGATCTTCTATCCCTGCCTAGCAATAATAAGAAAACTTCACACACACACACACACACACACACACACACACACACACACACACATCAGGTGTCAGGAGAGGCTGAGTGGAGAACCTGAACTTCTACTCCACTTGGCAATAATGAGGCAGTGCCCCCATTCATTTCACTGGAGCACTGTCAGGGGAGGCTTGCTAAAGCACAGATTTAAATAAGATCCAGTCCCATAAATAATACCCCAAATGCCGAGGTTTCAATTATAAATCACTTGGCATACTAAGAACCAAGAAGTTCTCAAACTGAATGTGAGAAGATAATCAACAGACACAAACACAAAGATGACACAGATGTTGGAATTATCTGACAAAGATTTTAAAGCAGCCATCATAAAAATGCTTCAGTGAGCAATT